CCTCTTAGTTTTGGCCCTTCCTATACTCAAGGGTCAGTCCGTTATTTCTCGGACTGCACCTGTGGCCTTTCCATGCCCATGAGAGCCTCCGTTTGTCTCTTTCTCACCCAAACAATAGGCCCTCATGTTCCAATTTTCTCGCGGAGGCCTATTTTTCTCACAGAGTCCCTCTTGACTCCATTTTCTTGGGGGAGGCCAATCCGAGATTTTTCGGATTGCACCTATGCCTCCTATCTCATGTTTCTTTGCTTTTTCTTTTCCTTTTGGTCTTTCCTCTTGCTCCCACTAGTGGTTATGCTAGTGGTACTAATATTCTTGGCCGTCAGGATCTTTGATCTTGACGGTGTGGCTTGCTTTAATTATTTGCACCTCACGACACACCCCAATTTTTCCTTGGAGCGCCGCAAGTCGCCGACACTTGTCCCGTGCTAGTCCCCGACATTAGTTCCGCTAGTGGTCCCGCCGGTGGTCCCGCCGGTGCTAGTTCCGTTGGTGGTCCCGCCGGTACTTGTCCTGTGGGTGGTCCCACCAGTACTAGTCCCGTGGGTACCCCTGCTGGTGCTAGTTCCGTTGGTGGTCCTCGACACTTTGTCCCGCCGGTGGCTCTCGGTACTTTGTCTTCCTCACGTTCCGTAGGCCAATCTCTCCGGTTGTGGTTCTTTACTTGGCCCATGGCCCCTTGGCCTTCTTGACGTCGCATCCCAGTGACCCTCTTGGCCCGGGCCACGTCCTCGCGCGCCGGCACCCCACTTCTTTCTTTCTTTTTTATTCTTTTATCCCTGCGTCGTGCAACTTGTGACACCACCTTCCCCGACGGTTTTTCTCCCTTTCGGGGGAAATGCCGCCTTTGCTAATTTCTTACGGTCTCTTGCAGCTCGCCGTTCCGCTAGTCTCTCCTTGGTCTAGTGGCTCCGACACCCCCCGGCAACCTCTAAATCTCTAAGTGTTAGTACTAATGCCTTCAATCTTTTCTACCCTTCTCGCCTCCGTTTTTTTCTGTCGTGCACAATTCCGCGGTATACCGCGTCTCAGCGGGCAAGGCTTATCTCGGGACCCATTGGTCCCGACACATTCCTCCCACTTATTCGCGATATCCTCATCGCGCACCAAGCCTTAGTCAACAGGAGTTTTTGGAGGGGTAGACGGGGGGGAAGAGGGAGTGGGGTGAGACATGTAGTTAGCTTGCCAGAGTCCTTCTTGTCTTTTTCTTGTTCCTCTCTCAGGGTTTCTTTTAGTTTCTGCCCCTTGGGGCGGAGGGGAGTGTGGACGGTCGAGGGCCTCCTTCAGGCTTCCTTCTTCTCATTCATTACCCGAGGTGCATCAGGCCCTTCCTTCCAACCTTCCTTTTCCTGCTGCCCTGCTTCTTCCCTGAGCCTTGCCCTTTCGGCCCGTGCAATCCATGCTTTCCGTCATTCTCAATACCTCTTCCATTTGGTCCTTCGGCCCGTGCAATCCATGCTTTCCGTCAGTCTCAATGCCTCTCCCATTTGGTCCTTCGGCCCGTGCAATTCATGCTTTCCGCCAGTCTCAATGTCTCTCCCATTTGGTCCTTCGGCCCGTGCAATCCATGCTTTCCGTCATTCTTTCCTCAAGCCTAATTTACATGTATTTCTCTCAGGCTGTTTTGTCCGGCTTTACTCTAGCTCTTCCAATTTCGCATGCATATCCCCCCCTTTTTCGCCCTTTCTTGCACCCAAGCTTAATTAATTTTCACATGCGAGACACTCCGTTCGTTTCGTATGCATCTCTCTTCTGGACATCCTACCAAGTCTTTCTCAAACCCATGCAAAGTCAATTAAATAAGTCTTTTCTCTTCTTGGCATCTTGACAGACCCCTTCCTCAAGCCCATGCAAAGCCAATTACACAAGCCTTTTTCTCTTCTTGGCATCTTGCCAGACCCTTTTCTCAAGCCCATGCAAAGCCAATTACACAAGTCTTTTTCTCTTCTGGCATCTTGCCAGACCTCTTTTTCAAGCCCATGCAAAGTCAATTACACAAGTATTTTTCTCTTCTAGGCATCTTACCAAACCCCTTTTTCAAGCCCATGCAAAGCCAATTACATTAGTTTTTTTCTCTTCTTGACATCTTGCTAGACCCCTTCCTCAAGCCCATGCAAAGCCAATTACACGTGTTTTTTTCTCTTCTGGACATCTTGTCAACCCCCTTTTTCAAGCCTATGCAAAGCCAATTACACAATTTTTTTTTTTGCATGTTTTTTTATCGGTAGGTGGCACACCTTCCCCCCACTCAAAATGCGATGTCCCCATCGTACGACTGATTCTCACTCGGAGGTATGCAGACCTTTGGCCCGTCGACTGCAGTCAAGGACGCAGACCCATCCGATTCGAGAAGGAAGAGTGATCAGTTCTTCCCCAACGAGTGACGCCTCATCCTTCTACTCAGTCTGACCTTTTGCTATTACGAGACGAGCACCATCACTTAGGTTCCTCCTCACATCTGGTAGGTAGGTCCAGTCCAAGCCTCCCAGGGCCCCGTCTTGCCATAAGAACTTCCATCGCGAATCGTTTCTCCCGAGTGGTAATTTTTCTGGATCCGGCCTCTTTCTTTCACGAGAGTTGGGCCTCTCTATTAGTTCACGAGTGCAGTTACGAAGACCTCGCGGTTAGTCCCGAAACGGTTGTAATGTTCCGGCGAGGCGGTGTCAATGCCGCGTGGTGGTGGTGGACTCCACCCGGTACCTCGCCCGGCCCCTCCTCTTGGACAGTGCCGCCCAACTTAGTGCGGGCAGCCGAGGTCCGACCCAAACGACCATGCAACCCCTCTATGGTACGGCGTGTGGTTGGAGAGGGCAAAAGAAATTAGAATAAGAATGACTCTCTCGCCCATTTTATTCTCTCACCCTTTGACGTTTAGGCTCTCAGTATGAAGCGCAATTTGAACTCCCCGACTAAAGCTCATTGTCGGAGTTAGTTCCGGACGGCTAGCACCAATCCAAGGGACAGGTGCCTTGATCCTTTAACCCTCATCCCCTTTTAAGAGGAACAGGTCGCGCTGAGGCTTTTTCCTTAAGAGGATAAATGTCTTAGGGTCGCGGTGCGAGCACCGATATCCCTCTCCTGTTGAGGCCAGAGACTAGAGAAAAAGGAAAAATCTTTCTCAATGTCATTTCCATGGTCGGCCTGACGACCTTTTGTCAAAATTGCTTAGGGTCCCCTGACTTATGCAATGCAATATCCAATTCTCATTACTCCATCCAGTGTTGTTTCTAGCTCTTTCTCATGGCTGCTTCTCATGGCTGGTCCGACAGCCTCTCATCAATAAGGCTACCCCTCATGACTGGTCTGGTGGTTGCTTCCTCAAATAGTTATTTTCCAAGGCCAGACCCGTCGGCCTACCTCCAACCCTCAACTCCCACATTTGTAACATCCCATCCTTATAACCGTTCCAACGGTCTATGCCCTTCTCGTCTTGAGGTTCGTCATTCTTTATCATGCCCTTCTCTTTCCAATGCGTCACTCTCTTCCATCCATCCTCATTGCTATTTCAATGACCGACCCACCGGACTTTTCCGTCTCATAGTGCTCATTCCAGATCTTTCTTAATTAACATCTCTCAATCAATTCTTACAGGGGACCCCAATACCTATTTCAAAAGAAATGACCCTTGTCAGGGGCTATTTCCGAACAACCTGGTTAGGGTCATTCTTTTCCATTCTCAAGTCAAACAGCCTGGTTAGGGTCATTCCTTTCCATTCTCAAGTCGAACAGCCTGGGTTGGGCCTTCCTTTCCATTCTCAAGTCGAACAGCCTGGTTAGGGTCATTCCTTTCCATTCCAATCGGTCGGCCTTGTCAGGGCCATCCTTATCCATTTCAGTGTTAGCACCCGAGGAGGTGGGCCTCAACGACACGGATCCCATCTCTGTCTCGGGGGTTAGAAGGTAGCCATCTTCTTGGGTTTTTATGCATGCTTTTTCCTTTGTCATTTGTCAACAACATTCAGTTATCCATGCATACATCCGACTTAGCATCTAGTGCTCAAGTTGAGGCTTGCAGCCCCAAACAACACTAGCCCACCCAGTCCTTCAACCATAGTGAGGGGAGTGTGCACCATCACTGTTTTCTCTCTTCCTGATCTCTCATGCCTCTTGCTGTTCTAGACTTGTCTGTGACTGGTTGGATTAGGCTCCTAGGGAAGAGGATCTCTCATGCCTCTTCACCCATAGGTCCCCTAACCTCTCTCAGAAACTCATGCCATAACTCATCCGACCGAGGGTCAATCACACATTTTACAAAACATTTTGTCATAACTTCCCTCAATCCTGACAATCCCTTCCCCTTTCGCTTTCTCAAAACAGAGTCAACCATTCACAGGTCCCGTCTCAATCTCATCGATCCTCAAGTTTTCCAAAGGAGCAAGTACTTATGCGAAGTGGCTTTAGCTACTCAATGCTTTCCAGTTCGACGAGCAGTCATGTAGCAGTTTGCTTCTAGGAATTTAAATTGTAAGAACAACCTCTTAGTCTTGTCTCATCTAAGTACCTCTTTTTTCTTTGCTTTCCCTGAACAAAATCGGCTTTCCACGGCTCTAGTCTCAAGCTCATTGATCCTCAAGTTCTTCTGAAGAAGCAAGTACTCGTACACAGTAACACTACGTGCCCAACCCTTAACCATTTCTTGACCAGAAAGCCATTCCATTGCGGTCTATTTCTAGGAATTCAAATGCAAAAATCAACACCACAGTCTTGCCTGTCCCGGATACCCGTTCCCTCTTTTTTTTTTCCTTTGCTATGACTAGTCCATTTTACGTCCACCGTCCCCTTGTTGCTCAGTTGTATTGCGTTGGGCCTGCCTTGCCCGAGTATCCAATTCCCGCTGAATCCTTCTCTTCGTCCTTTGTAAGTCGACGAGCGCCCCTTCCGTGAGGAAGGTTGTTGGTGTTATCTCTTCTCCCCTACTCAGCTTTTCCTGTGCCTTTAACGCCCAGTCATGCCTCATGATGCTAGTCCACTGGTCAAACCAGTGGTTACAAGTTGGCCCAAACTCTCGTATCCATTTATCATTCTCATTCTCCGGATCCTCATCCCTTTATCGTACTTCTTCTACTGGCCTTGTGACCTCTTCATCTTCCTTCCCACTGTTGATATCTATGACCTCATTGGGCTCTTCCTCATTCTCATCACTGCTGCCATCTCGAATAGGGCTACACTCTCCCTCGCATTCCTCTCGCTCATGGCGGTGAGGTCTTTCATCACATACGTCATTATGCCATACATGTTGTTTACCACTTTCGGCGCCCTCCCAGATAGGGCCCTGACTCTCTCCCTTGTCCGGTTCCTGCCTTTTTCCTCGGCTCGTATTTTCTCCCTCGCTCTCACTCTCAGATGGGACATATATCCCTTCCCCTTCTCTAAGAGGTGAGGGCCCCCTGGTTCCCTGTTTTCTTCCTCCCCTGCCGACAACCAAGTTGAAGTCAAATCCCACATACAACTTTCTCTTTTTGGTACTTGGTTCCCCGGTTGGTCTTGGCCCTCGTTCCCCGCTGGGCCTGTTGATGAAATTGTTGTCGTTCTCATTCCCGAATTCCATTTTCGTCTTTCTTGCTGTTTTCTTTTTCCCTGGTCCTGTGCATACATAACAAAAAAAACACAGCAGCCCCCATATACACACATTCTCTCCCACTCCCCTTGCGAATTTGTAGGTTTTACTCCCCAGAATCTTCGCTCAACCCCATGAGATTGGTAGTCGTCTCAGAGTGACATCGTAGGCGGATGCTCCCATTATCCCACAAAAACTATGATACATTGCCCCAGCACATAGATACCCCATATAGACACTCCCACCATTATCCCACAAAAACTATGATACATTGCCGCAGAGCTCCCAACCCCATCCGTATTCAACCCAAGCAATCACCCCATGCCCCAGAAAAAGGAAAAAACACAAAAAACAACCCCTGTAGTCATAATCATTTCCGCAGAGGGACGGTACAAGAGTATGGTTCAACTGCCTGTTTTTCAAACCGTCAAGTCCCTGTTTCCTTGTCCTGAGCTTCTTGCAACCATTGCTCCACTGGGTCCCGGTTTAGGAACCTGACCAACCTCTGTCCCGGGAATGGTCCTTTTATTCCAGTACCATCAAGATCCTCAAGTTCGAAGGTGTTCAGCCTCACCCAGTTGTCCAGACCACGTGCTCTCAAGGGCCGAGTTCCTAACTAGTACCATTTCCCCCACCTGAAGTGACTCCTTCCGGATGTTTTTGACTTGGTCCCATCTTGCTTTGTCCCTCATTCGGTTATCCATCACTCGCTTAACAACTTCCTCCAAGACCTCTTCATTCCTAAGGACCTGTTGACATCGTGCCTTGATTAATTCTTCCATGGTCATGAGCGGATTGTCATCTAACCTATTCCAGGTGGGTACGAACGCCTCCACCGGGAAATCAATCTCCCTTTCATTTCCAGAGTTCTGCCGGAATGCATCCCGTCGCCCTTTTCGGCGTCATATTCTCTGAGAAGACTGCCTGCTTAACGTACCGGGGCCAATTCCTCAGGTCGTCTGCCGCCAACTTAGCAATTATGTTTTTCAAAGTCCGGTGGCCTCTTTCGACAGGCGCGTTGGCCTCAGGATGATACGGCTCGATGATCTTGATAGGCACGCACAACATCTTAAGCTTGCCTAAAACTTTCTGGTTTACGAACTTCGTCCCGTTACCCGCTATGAATCTTCGAACGAAGGGGTAGAAATCTTATATCCAGTCGGCTACTCCCTTCCCCGTCTTTCTTTTAAGCGCGACCGCCTCTACGTAACCACTCCGGTTATCTCTTGCATCCAAGATATACCTGTACCCGTCTGTTGATACAGGCATGACCGCGAGATCCAGATGGACCAGATGCCCCGGCCCCCGGCCCCTGCACCCGAGTAGGTCTAAGAGGCTCGAAGACACGCGCGAAGCTCCTTTCTTGGCAAATCAGGCACGTTTGACAGTAAGTGGTCACCATACCCGCCATGCCTGGCCAAAAGTAAAGTGGCGCGATTTTTGCAAGGGTCTCTTTCGATGACCGATGCCCTCCGACTAGTCCGTCATGCATTGTCTGTAGTATGTCCAACTGCCTAGATTTGTCGTTCCTTCTTCCTTCTTGAAGAGGTGGTCATTCCTCAGGACATACTTTTCATCTTCCTCTCTTGCCTTGGGGCTGACTTCCATAGGCTGCTTGTTCCCTATAAGTAACAACCCGATTTCTCAAAAGATGTCGTCATACATTTGTACGAGGAAAAAATATTGTCCCTCCTGGTTTGTATCTCGCTTTTCCTGAGCCTGACTTACTAAATACTGCAGTTCCTTTCGTGTCCAAGACTCTACTAGGCATATCACGGCGTCCCGACCTCCTTCAACGACCATTGCCATCAATTCCTGTTTTGGCCTCATTGTTGCCCCCCACGAATCCTTCTTATCTTTTGGTCTAATCGTGGTGACTGGTCCTTCCCTGAGTTTCGCAACTACGACAGGCGTCCCTCTTTCCAATGTTTGGATCAGCAATTGCGCTGGCGTGTAGGTGGGACTCGTCATCTCGTTATCCACGACGAGGGTCCCTCCTTCATATTCCAAGAAGGCGTCGATTGGCTCTGCATCCTCCATGCCATCCGGTGTGATGCAGACCCGACTTGACCCGTCTGCTTTGTTTCAGAGCCCCGAAATTCGCTCGATCTTATAATCGAACTGCCAGATAAAGCCTATCCATCTCCCCACGGTCGGGTCTATAGGCTTATAGTTCTTTAATGCTCCTGCGACGTAAACCGTCTTCCAAATAGGTACGCTTGAAAGGTCTTGAGACAATGTAGGATAGCTAAGACCTCCTTTTTGAATTGGGAGTATCGCCATTCTGTCGAATTTAGGGTCCTACTCACGAACCTAATAGGTCTTTCTCTGCCTTCATCGCTCCTTTGTATCAGAACACCTCCTATTGCCAATGGTCCTCCATCGGTTTCCAGGATAAAGGGTTGTCCTACCTCGTCGTTGAAGCAGGGCGCTGCCAAAGTGACCTGATCGAAAGTCAAGACGTCTTTGAGGGTCTAAGCCGCTGCTTCCCTATCCTCGGTCCACTCCATAGTCCCTCCTTCCCTAATCATCGCACGGATGGGCTCAACTATTTTGACAAAACCTTTGATAAAAATCCTCCAGAATTCAACCACCCCTAGGAAGGCTCGTACTTCCGTCGTGGTGCGCAAGGGTGTTGGCCATTGAGAGATCTTATCTGTTTTCGCCGGGTCAGGCTTCCTCCCATAGGACCCACAGCGAAACCCCAGTATGATCACTTCTGGGACCGCCAGGATGCTCTTTGGCCCGCTTGCGGCGATGTTATATACTAGGAACCGTTGGAGTAGGTCCTTAATATCCTGTAGGTGATCCCAGACGAACTTCCTGACCCCCGACTAGACCTCCGTTTCGTTTTTATTCTGCGCATCTTTTGTAGGATTGTCATCTATATACGGCTCGCATTTTTTCGGAAACATGTTCCCAGCTACCGCAAGCATCCTCCTTTGTGCCTCTGCCACAGCCTTCGTAAAGCCCATAGGGGTTACCTACATCTGCAGCTGCCGTACAAGGGTGTGCATGGCGGTGTACAGTCTGTCCCTGGCAGCGAGCGACAGTTGGTCATATCTTGAATATAATCCTATCACAGAGTAAATGCTCCGGCCAGCGTGAGATTCTGCCAGCAAATCGGCTTGTGGAAGCGATCCCGCATTCCGGATTGTTACCGCATTCAACTTCTGCAAATCTTGGATCCACCTGAGCGTCTTGTTGGGCTTCCGAAAAACGAACCAGTTGTTCGCGTAGGGGGACGCGGTGGGTTCGGCCACGAATGAATCTATCTTGGCTTTGAGTAGTTCGATGACCTCCGCTGCTATTCTGAACTCGTAGGCAGACCCTTTGTCGTTTCAGCACTCATGTTCCACTGTGTGGATCCTAACGGGGGAAATTAGCTTTGCATCCAATCGACCTTTGTGATGGTCATTGAAAGCAAATGTTAGGTGAAACTCCTGGCACGCTTTCCTTATTAGCTGGGTCTCTTCCACCCTTAGGAACTGATCTATCCCTTTTTTCATGGTGTCTGCTACCTCATCGGGTATCCGATGCTCTTCCGCTGCGGCTTTCCCTTATTATCCGCAAAATTTCTTCCTCCTTCTCCATGACCTCTTCCTTTGTCGTCTTCACTAGGATCGAAACAGGCTTAGCTTTCTTCCCTACTGGCTTGTACTTCCGAACACTTCCCTCTGGGATCGTTCTTCCAAAAAAATAAACGGTCAGAATCGACTTTGCTCTCTCCGCGACGCGGGGTTGAATAGTTACTATCCTCAAGTTCAGACAGTAGCCCTTTCGGACCTCATCCTCGAATTTGGCAAGCGCTGTCGTGTTCACCCCTACTTTATGGTACCTCATAGCCGTGACGAGTTGTAACAGGTTCGGAATTTCGATTGTTACCTCCGGCGTCTCCTTTCGACACTCCTTTGGTTCAGGCAGACTGGCCCCAAGCTCGACTTCCGGTTCCTTGTCTGCTACCATGATGCCTAAGACCTCGTCTTCTTGCCTCCTTTTCTTCAGAGGAAGACCCATCTTGATCCATTCCTTTCTACTAAAAGCCTCCTCAATCATGATTTCCACCCTTTCTCTCATACCTTCCATCCGGGCGAATGCTCGTTTTCTCGCACTATCCTCGAACGTTGGTGACCAAGTTGCCAACTGTCCCTTCGGAGGGTCCCCTCCGGTCCCAAGGAGTCGAAGAAGCTCTCCTCGACCGGTCACTATGTCCTCTATATCTACCATGTATATGCCGTCGTGCAAGTGCATGCCTATCATTTCTACGTTGGCGCACCATGGTCTACCGAGGACTATGTCGTGGTCCATTTCCTCCATTACAGTCATCCGCTAAAGTGACCAAATCGACTCCCTGACTCCAGCCTTGACCACACACTTAGTCACATACCCAGCGAACGAAATTTCTCCGCCGGCCCCCCGGATGCTCCATGTTACTTCCTTGTTTACCGTGCAACCCGTAATTGTCGCGAAGTCTCTCCGTATGAGGGTAATTTCGGCACCTCCGTCTACTAGTGCGTCTGTGTGATGGGTCTCGATCTGGACCTTCAGCTTTCCTACGGGCAGTGCATGGAAGTTGAGCTTCGTCTCGGGAGGTGCCCTCATGACCTCGCCACCTTCTCGGTCAGGTAGGCTTAAGCGGATGTCTGCAAAGGTCTTTTCCAGGTCCTCCAGATCCCTTGGAATCCTCTCAAGGTTGGCGACCCCTTGCGGTGCCTCAGCCTCCTCCGTTTCCTGCTCTTGCGGTTCCGGAGCCTCTTCTACCTTCACGCATTTGCGCGTTAGCAGTTGCCTGAGTCCTTAAAACAATCTCGGGCTTGCTTGCAACATGGTTTGAAAAGATACAGATACCATGGTACCCAACAATTTGCTCAGGGTGTCGTCGATTTCAGGTATGGTCAAAATTGGATTTTGGTACCTGAACTTCTTCTTTGCCGCCGCGGCTTTGTCTATCAGTTCTTCTTCCCTTGTTTTCCCGTAAACTTTCTCCAGCTCCCCAGTTTCAGGCTCACCTTGATTTGCATTGGTTCCCGCAACCTCCTCCATCACCGTATCTCGGATAAGCCCGTCGAGTGGTGATGTTCACCCTATCTTGTCCATTACCTTCTAGGATGAAATTGACTTGTGCTCCGCGCCCCCGCGGCTGGTCCCAAACAATGTCCACTATTGGCTCGGCTTCTACGACGGCCATATCCAGGTTATTCAGGATGATGACGGCACGCCACATTCCACTTGGCGAATTCCAGTTTATTCGCTCCCCTAGGGCCCGAAAATTTCGCCTTTAAGAGACCTGCTGCATCTCTGCCTCATAATATCGTGGTTGAGTCTTTTGCAGGTCCGCACAAAGCGACCGATCATCGTGCAATATCGACACTGCTCATTGGACGGATCTTTCCTGGCGTATCCTCGGTTGGCTACTGCTGCCGGAACCACGACCTCTTGGAGTGGGAGGGAGGGTCGAGATACTTCCGCCTGCATTACCAATAGTGCATTTTCCACCGTTTCTATCTTATTATCGACTCCATGCACCCGCTCGTGCAGACTTTCAATCCCCTTCTTCACCGTGTCTCCCGTCTTTCCGGTCAAGTCTATGACCTTTCCCTCCGTAAGCAAAACTAACGTCTCGGTTACCACCGTCTTCTCCGCAAGGTTTGTTACCGTACTGAAGTCTATGTCCCTCGTGTACTCAAACTTGTTGGTCTGTTGATAGGCCGACATAATCTTATCTTTGTCGAACTCGGAGAACTGTCTAAGGAAGTACTTACTCAAGATCCATTCTGTTACCCCTGGAATTCGTAACGCCACTAGGGTAAATGCTCTCAGGAAGTCGTTGTAAGTCGCATAGTTCTTCCTCTGCACGGCTGCCAATTCGGTTTCGGTTGTCATTTTCTCCGCCTTTAGATACTTCCTCATCATTTCGTTTCGGGTCTCCTTCCAGGATCCACTGGCGGCGACGATGGCCATAATATCCCTTCCTAAGCTTAGTGACACATGCTGCCCTAAGTGGTCTATCTTTTCTTCCTCACTCCACTTCAACAAGGCTGCTAGATTCTCGTAGTCTATCAGGAATTTGATGATGTTCGCCCCATTAAAGGTGAGCTTCTTCTTGGCATCTGCGAGGTAGCCCTGATTTTTGTTCAATGCCCGAGTGAGGGTGGATACTATTTTCTTGAGCCCACCCTCAGAACTACCTGTTTCGCCAGCCGTGCTAGTCCTCTCTCCTTCCTTGCTATCCTTCCACTTTTCTCCAGTTGTTGCTTCCCTCCGGATCAAACCATCCTAGTACCCTTTCTCTGAGACCCCAAAGTCCATCGCACCCCTTCATTATTTTTGGCGCGGCAGGCAAGCGGCTAGCACCACTGTCTATGGCAGGTGGGTTTGTAGCTTTTTCCGCTTCTGCAGCTGGGGAGTGCCCCTTTTCCTTCTGTTTCTTGCTAGGCGTCCCCCTTTTCCTTCCTTATTCTCCCGAGATCCTCGTTTACTTCCCCCGGCCTTTCCCGAACTTTCCCCCGTCGAGAGATCCTTCCCGTCTTCCTTGGTCCCCTTCGGATTTGCTGATTCTCGGTCCCTTATTGACCCTTCTTTCTGTTTCACGCCCCTTTCTGTGCCCTGACTCCCTTTACTCCACAGGTTCCCAGCCTCTTCTTCCGACGCCATCCCTTCCTAACCCTGCACGTGGAAGGAAAAAAAAATTGAAACCGTCGATCGTTCACAGTTTCCCTAGTTCCCAGACCCTAAGGTCTTTTTCTTTGCTATTTCCATATTTCCTGTCTTATATCAGTGATGACGGCTCATCTGACGTTTTCTTACTCTGCAGGGCATAGCTTACCTTTCCTCTGCCGGAAGACTCGCTGCCAAGGTTCGACATTTTGTCGCTGCCGTGCCTCGGTTTTAAGGCAGTATCCAGGGTTGGCGGCTCTTCTTATCGAAGATGGTCCTTTTTGCCTTCCCGACTCCCGGATACCCTCAGCATCCTTAGGACTCTGACCACTACCCTCCGCAGATGGTTAATCCCTCATTTTAATTTCCAGCTTTCACTTTCGTTGCCTTTTTCCGGTACTTTTCTCACGCCGGTCCCTCATGCCTGTCCTGTTCGTCAGGTTCTTCAAACAGGTTAGCCCCCCCCGCAAGGTAGTTTTCTCCCATTTCTATCTCCCTGATAATTATCGGTTCATACTCCTAAAACGCCAAGCGTGGTAACCCGAATATAAGGATTTCGATGAGTTCTAGTAGTTCACGGACCCGATTTCCCCAAAACGGTCCGTGCCTAACTGACACGTTGTAAAACATTCCCGTGGTCTGTGGCTGGAAGTGGTGGATCCAGACTAAGGTCGAGTCCACCAGGTCTCTTGCCCTCGAAAGGCTGCTGAACACCAGGTCTACCATGAAACAGGGTACTCTACACCTCAATCCTGTCATCGGGGCTCGAAACTCTCGCCATCCTCCTACCTCCACCCGAGTTCTCAGTCCTACATTCCTTCTTCCTCGCACCTCCTGACCTATCCGGTTCACTATCCTGGCAGCCCTTTGGAAGATTGGTAGCAGCCAAAGTCCTAGGGCCATCTCGGTTCCTAGCATGTGCCGTTTAATTTCCGATAGGTATACGGTCCCTGTCACCCTCAAATCGACATATAGATCATCCCGTGGCCCCCTATTGAACCTCATACCCCTCCATAAACATTCTACCATCATGAAGGTCTGGTCCCTTCCCAAGATCACAGCTCTCTATTCCGTGTCAATCCCTCGAACCAAGTAGCTTGCTAGAAGTGACACCTCTCATCCGTCTCCGCTTTCCGTGGGCGGTCGAGGGTGCGTGGGTCGTCGCGACATCCGGGCGCGCCTCATTGCCATCGTTGGTTAGCGGTTCCCTGCACAGTTTAAACAACAAGCGAGCTCTGTTTATTTCATTCATTCATTCGACCATCACTTCGGCAACTCCCCGGTCCTTAACCCGCCCTCCTTTTCTTTCTTACTCGTATTTTCTTTCCTTTCTCTTTTTATTGACCCGTCTCCACTCCTAATGGCTCGTACAGGCGGTACAGATCGTTTACGTAAATCAACCCCTGGTTTATTTCTCGTCGGACGATGCCCCATAGGACCTCATCGCTAACAATTGGAACTCTAGGCCTTGTGGTGAATACGGAGCGCAGTATTCGCAACACCTCGTACCTCTGCTCTCCGTCGAACGGACCCCTTTCTAGGAAGGCCCAGTAGTATTCCCGGTGGACCCCTGCCTCTTCAAACGTCAGGTTGGCGAGGTTGGTCACTGCCCGCCTGACAAGATCCAACCCGCCTAGTCTTTCTAGTAAGAAGGGTGACAATCTCATTCGAACGTTGTCATTAGGCAAATTGAAACTCCCGGTCATGGCCACCCTAAGGTTCGATGTTACGTCGTCGAACTCCGGGTCTGTTAACTCCAGCCCCACCTGCCACACTAGTTACCAAGCTCCTTCGAACATGTTTAGCAGATCTTCCCCTGACGCTAGTAGGACTCCGAACGCGCGCCATCCATCCTCCGACACATACAACCACCCCTCCGCACGCACATGCCCCCGCGGATCCCGATTCCACTCGCCATCCTCATCCGCCCGCCACTCAACCTTGGTTACCAGATAAACCGTGTTTTCCATAAGTTCGACCCCGACCCAATCCACCACCGGGTGTCGGACCTCATTTACGGTAGGAAGGCTGATTTCTATGCCGCTAGTCACTTCCCTTGGCGGCTCAATTCCCAGCGGGCGATCCTCAAGGAACGTCCTCCTTCGTGCCATTACACGTCCTCTACCTGACTTCGATCTTTATCTCGCGGCGCCGCAGCGATCCCTACAATAGTCGGACACCCCAATCCCAGTCTTAGTACTTCTATCCCTAGATGGTTTGCATAAAATACATGTTCCCTTGTCTACGTCACCCCCTCGTTTTTCCCCTTCCTCCTTCTTTTCACCCTTTACCCCCTAACTCACCCTGCTAGTTCGGGTTTTCCCAGCTCCTAATCGAACCACATCGCTTCGAATAGTTTGAACACATCATCCACATAGCAAGGTGTTGCTGCTACCTCTCTTCGGATTATGGCTTCCTTGATCTCCGGGGCTACCTCTGGCCGGTCGTTCCTGTCCATATCCAAAATGATGAGGACCTCCCAAGCTCTCTCGCCGTGGAAGAGCCCAAATTTCAACGATGTTCTATAAAACTCTTCCGTCAGCCATGCGCAATTGACGTGTACCCGCCCAATAGTGCTGGCCACTTCCACGACGTGGTCAAAACCCCCAAACCAGTCCTCTACGAACTCGGGTACCCAAATCTTGTTTCGTAGACAGAGAGGTCTAAACTCCTTCCATATCCCTATCACAACCTTCCTACGGACCACATCTCATCCTTTATTGGCAAACCTCTCGCTTGCCCTCCGAGTCCTCGCCTCGGCATCCCCCATAAGCCACATCGGACTTTGTCCTGCCGCAAGCGTTATGCAAAATAGGTGTCACCCTTGCTCGGAGAGGATGACCGTCCCGACCGATTCCACCCTTCCTTTCGCAATCTCCTTCCATCCTTCCTTTTCTCTTAGCGGGTTCCAGATGCGCTCTATCCATAGGTACGATAATTCCGGCACAACCTCAAGCCCAACCCAGTCACACGTAGTCCCTCTCCATTCATTGTCCGCTGGTACGGACATCTCTACCCCCCCTTCGACTCGTCTCGGCTCCTATCCTTTAAACGTGCAGTCCCTTAGCTGTAGTTCCCTTGCCATCGCTTCCTTTCTACACAGAGTCGACCACCCACTAAGGAGGTTTAGTATATCAGCTAACTCCTCCCCCCAGTTCCCTCCGAACGGCCCCATTTCTACCGACAGCCTAAAAAAGTCTTGTCGAGCATACTGGTACAGCCTCAGGTTTGTCATTGACTGGCATATCCGTTCCAATCTTTTCCGGGTTCCAAAGACCGCGTCCACTAGAAATGGTGGTAGTACGCATCTCAACGTCCTAAGATGTCGTCTCACATTTCCTCTATCTTTGAGCTCCACTCGCACCTCTACTTTATCCCTCTCCATTTCCACTCGCTGACAAGCTGCCCATACTACCTTCCGCTCCGCCTGCTTAAACAACAAGTCCGGTGCAGTCCCCAACACCAATTCTATTACCATCGCATTTTCACTTTCCTGGGATAGGTAGACCCACCCTCGGGCTTCCACCGTCACCCGGAATTCCAAGTCCACCAAGCTCGGTGTCAGTCTGGTCAGGCTGACCTTAGTCCATATCGTCTCTATCCAGAGGAACGCGTCCTTCTCGTCCAGCATCACAGTTTGATAGGCTGGCTCCAGGTTTGTCCACGTTCCTTCTTCCGAGAGAACGACAGATACCCCGCCTTTTACATCTATCGGCATTTCCGGACCGCTAGAATAGACTGGAGACGACAACCACCGCGCCATCCCGTTTTTTGGTCCCCAGTTCCTGTTTTTCATAAGAGAGCACCACACGGCCCCTCTGGTCAGGCTACCTCCCTTTTCTAGATGAGAATTATTTCAGACCCCTTATCCGGGTCTCCCTAATTTCCCCTGCCCATTACCCAGATATCTTTTCTTGTAGTACCTTTGGTCGGTCACCGCTTCCCTTGGTGCACCAAGCACTTCCTACCCAAGCCTCACAATTTTCTCTCGGGACAGTGTGTGCCACTCCCCTTATTGTCCATACACAGTGGCTGGTTCCTTTTCGTGAGCGTCTTCAAAGGTGAGCTAGTTTTCCTTGGAGTCTAGCAAGTCCCTTCATTCCCTTATCTTCCTTCGTCTGTCCGTTCATAGGGTAGGATTGTTCCTTCTTGATTACCATTGTATTCATGTTGGTTCCTTCAAGCATTTCATGTGCATAGTGCATGAGCCTGGTGGGCTTAGAAGAAGAGGGAGAGAAGAGCACCCAGTTGGTCGGATCACTCCGCCGCATTGGACACCGGCCGAAGCCAGAGCACCAACCGGCTGCCAAGTAACCGGAGCCCCTCTTTCACACGAAGAGGAGGGGTTGACCTGCGACTTGCCCAAGGCTTCCCCAGACTGGCGAACA